TTTACAAGAAAAGCCCTAAATTAATTTCTTCTTATTTCTGTAGCTTTGAGCTGACAATAAACATTTAGGGCTTTTCTTGTAAATTCTATAAGTTTGCGAAGAAAGGTCATGTAGAGCTGGGAGATGTTTCATTTTAATCAGAAATGTGCGGGCTACAATCATGTCTCACTAAGAAAAGGTTTTGGTTATTTTTTAGAGTTTCTGAAAAACTGGTTTTCCAGAAAACCAGCTCTTCAAGAGTCAAGGGGATGAATCCTTTTAGAGTTTTTATCTACACCATGAGTCCTACCTATGAGCAGAGTATGAGCTCAAACAGAGGGTATCAGTTGGCGAGGTTCTCTCGTCAGTCATTATTTTACTCCGCTCAATCTCACGACAACCGGACCTCACCATACTGGTAAGGGTGATATATCAGAATTTGTTTTTGTACAAAACATCTTCTAGACCTTTGTCAAACAGTACCATATTCAATTAATCATAAGTTATACTGTGATAACTATTATTACAAATTGGGTATTTATACTGTTGGTGCGGTAAGGACAAGTGGATTTACTGATTGTGTATGAAAAATACAAAAGAATTAGCCAGTCGAGGGGCAACGAGGTCAGAGGGAGGGTGGCATTCATAATATGGTGAAAACCCGTTTCTTGTGACTTACCAAGAAAATCTTAATTTACATATTGTTCAGCATTCTTTTACTCCACATCTTCAATAAAATAGATATTAACCACTTTTATCATAATGAAAAAATATAACTATTTTCTGTTAGAGACCTTTCGTTTTTATTCAAAAGATACCACGAGTCGAATGTGACAATCAATAGCTGATTGTGAAGGCAGAAAAATAACGAATAGCAGTATATTGAAGATATGGTGGTAAGATGGTTTAATTTATCGACGCACTCGGTTGTCGTGAGATTGAGCGGAGTAAAATAATGACTGACGAGGGAACCTCGCCAACTGATACCCTCTGTTTGAGCTTATACTCTGCTCATAGGTAGGACTTATAGTGTAGATAAAAACTCTAAAAGGATTCATCCCCTTGACTCTTTCTCAAATGTGGACGGGGATCGCTCAAATGTCGGGGTCGCTCAAACGTCGGTCGCTTAAGTGTCGGTCGCTGAAATGTCGGTCGCTCAAATGTCGGGGTCGCTCAAACGTCGGTCGCTTAAATGTCGGTCGCTGAAATGTCGGTCGCTCAAATGTCGGGGTCGCTTAAATGTCGGTCGCTCAAATGTTGGGGGCGCTCAAACGGAGGGTGAGTGAGGGTGAAGTGATGCGCTTCGCTCAATTGTTGTTCGTTATTACTCAAATGCCGGGTCGCTCAACTGTCGGCGCTCAAATGTGGGGCGCTCAAACGTCGGTTAATTCGTTTATTTACAAATAAAAAAGATATCCTCTTAACAATAAAATTGATCTATTTATATAGATCAATTTTAAATGAAATATTGTGCGATAACCTTGAGTAGCTCTGCGCAATAACCTTGAATATATTCTTGCACCATAGCATTGAACATAGTCTTGCGCAATAACTTAGACTATATGCTTGCGCAATAACCTTCACTATGATCTTCTCCCAAATGGCACGACTCTAGTATGTCACATAACACAAACACATGTCGCTGATAGCTGATAGTTTGTTTTATTCTTTCTAGTACAAGTTAACTTTCTAAGGGGAGAACCTGTGGCTCCCTAGACCCCTCCCTTGGTTACGCCACTGTTGCCGATCAAGACATATTCTTGCTTTTCAATGTTTATGCGTCACAAATCGAGGAAGTGAAACCTATAAAGTTGTCGGCAAATTTTCGTGAGGATCGATGGAAACTCAGATCGCCTTCCGCGAAGGCTGTATTCAAATATTTGAAATTCCTCAAACAGATAATTTGCAACCGAATATTTTATCTCATAACTGAATCTGTTCTGATGAAATCACCCAGAAGGTTACATTGTACCAAACAGTTTTTATTCCTATTTGACTCTCTAAGAGCCGACGTACGCCCTGGTTATCACTATCAGCAGTGTCACGTATAGGTCACTGTAAATTTAACATGCACGTCTCTAACTGAAAGCTAATGAGATTAAGTGCTTTCAGATTTATATCCGTTTAAGGTTTGTAAATTCTGCTTATCACTGTTGCTGCTGGTAAAAACAAACTTCATATTCGCAATAAGACTTATGTCTTTGTCTTTTTTCGCTCAAGAGTTACTTAAAACAAAAAGTACAAGAGATAAAGTAGTAAGAAATAAACAGACAAATGCATTTCGTTTTAGACTGAAGGAGCAACAACAATGTAAAATCACATTCTGTTTGATCAGATTTTGTACATTAATGTCGTTTCTCATTATCCACAATTCGTACAGATAGCTTCATGATATCTCGACGTAACACATTGAGCTAAGTGCGCTAAATATTTTAGTATATTAACTAAACCGTAGTAATAACTTGTTAATTGTGATAATAAAAGATTGAACCCCTCATTTTCACAGAATGTTTGTGGCTCCTCTTCTTCTAACTCCAATAATACTTTATTACTATCAGTGACTGTCGTTGTTTTAGGATTGTTCTCTTCCGACATAAATGGCTTCATGCACCTTAGATGATCTCGAATACGTTGAATGAAATAAAATAATTCATGACAACTAGGCTGATCAGATAGCATACCAGTTGCACTAAAGTGATATAAAAGTTGCGGTGATAAACAAATATTACAATTTGAAGATTCATTCTGTAGCAAATATTTTTCGGATGCTAAATCTTTCAAACGTGTTGGTAGCATGACTTCTTCTTCCATCAGTTTTGTTGCATGAAAAAAGTACTTCAATGCGGATTGAACACCTGGACATTCCAGTTGAAAAAAGGCAATTGAACGATCTCTGTTTTCCATTAAAAAGCTAAAGAGAGAGAGACGTAAATCAGAGATCTTACGAAGTTTGGAAGAAGTCCATGTAAAATGCGAGAACGCGCTGTTCAGAAATATCTAAAAGTGCAATGATTTTTGAGAACCGCCTCATCTTTTTGTTCATAATTCTTGGGTATAGAGAGAAGACAGACACAGTTACCGAACATTTCTAAGACTTTCAGCTGAAAGTCAGACGTGGAGCGTAATCCGTTTCTCTTACGTCAAGTGCTATAAAGCATTGTTACCTGGTGGGATGTTACATGCAGACTATGTATTACTAGACTTTTATAAAAATGTATTTGTTAAACATAGACACACTGTATTTCAATAAAGAGCATTTTGTACAGTTCTTAGCGACCGGCCCGTTCGAAGTCCACCCTTCTTTTTGGCTTCTGCTGTGACCACATTTTTCAGTTTAACCACTGAACAGCCTATTTCTTTTCCTTTCTAAACAGTGCTTCTAAGCAGGCATTCCGCTAAATCGCTCACTTCGGTTTTTATAAGTAAATTACATGACTTTGAGATTGCTACTCTAGAAAGCCACTCTCTAATGAAAATGATTTTAAATATTGAGCCACATAATTTTATAGCAGACATCAGATTACCGACATGTGAAAGTATAACAATCTATTTAATTTGATCTGATTTATTTACTCTACATCGTAACGATGAAAAGATAACGTTTCAGAAACTTGAGTTAAAATATACTTCAACTTAAATACTTAAAAAAATAAATACTTAAAAAAAAAATTAAATACTTCAAATTATGCTTACATGACAGACTGAAGAACGTTAGTTAGTTGTGTATGAAATTATTCAACGTTTACTAATACTCTTATATAGTCAATGTTTGGGTGGCACGATGGGTTCTTTCACGTACAATGACGAAATCAGAAAACGGGATGCAATTTGCTTGAAGTGATGTCAATTGACTCATGTTCTTCGATTAACCATGTCATGTCAGTTTCTGAGGCGAACAATTAAAGCTGTACAGATACTGTTCTCTTTCTGTATCATAGGTTTTTTCTCTTGCATGGGAAAAGTATCATCGTTCCATAGTCTTATAGTGCAGTAAAGAAAAAGAAAAAGAAAAAAGAACTGTCACTAGTACCATAGTAAGATGTGTACACGAAACGAAAGATTATGAAACGATGATATTTTCCCATACAAGAGAAAATCCTTCGATTGTACAACAGACTCGGAAATAAAACATATTTTCAACCTTCGAATGATCAAAATTTCTCACTAACATTGGCATCTGTTGATTTTTCTCGAAGTCAGTCTTTTTAGTTCGAGTGCTCCCTCGACGAGGGCTTGACCCGTCGGAAAATGAGACTTTGACTCCTCGAAATTAGCGTTCGAAAAGCGTGAATAAAAGAAAACGAAGCAGCTTATATAGTATGCACTCCAAATCTATTTCAAGCCGTCAGAAGCTACCCGAGTGGATGTCTCAACGAAATAATTATGGCAAATAGGTAGATTCAAACGCAGGCACTTGTAAGTTAAGTTACTTACTTTCACTTTAACCAGGTGAGCTAAATAGGAATTGCGTTCTATAGATAAAAAGAGATTTTTAAATAGAATATAAAACAGTTCATTATTAGATATTAGTTTTGGATGTTTAACCAGATTGTCAGATAAGCTAAATGTTGTTGCTACGCTTTTATGCGGATTTCTTTTATTCTACAGTGTTAAGCTATTCGACTGCAATTCTGTTTGGACATCATTGCTATTCGATCATTCTGTTTCAGAATCTGGCTACTTGACTATGCTTCTTGACTATTTTGATACGCAAAAATTAATATGAAAAACTTAAAAAGGCAGAACTTATTCTCTAAAAGCAAAGGGAAAAAACTTCGATCCCTCGGAAATATCGATGGGTTTAAAGGGATCGAAATAGTAGTCGAAGTCTCGTAGCTGAACATTAGATAGATGGCTGACCTCGAGCCCTTGAATAGACCATGAGTCGGATTAAAGTCAAAACTTACTCTAAAAACCAAGTGTAAAATCTCCGATCGCTCGGAAATGGGTTCAGAGGGGTCGAAATAGTAGCCGAGACCTCGAAACCGAACATAGGATGAATAACTGACCTCGACCCCTCTAATATTTCGATATTTTTATTAGGCAGGTCGTTACTCCCCAATATATTTTGTATCGAAGATGTCACATCATCCGACGATTCATATTCATTTCTTGTTTTCCGAGGAGTTATTTCTCGCATTTCTAGACGAAATACTTTATTCCATGAGCTTTCAATAGTTTCTTTCAACTTTACACTTTCCTCTCTTTCCACCTCCGTCATTGCTCGTTCCTTTCTGTCCAGGGGAAGCCCGTGCTTCTCCACGAGAACTTCGCGCTTTCTCCTGCAGAAATCGATCTGTCTCCGGAGGAACTTCAGTTTTTCTCGCGGAGAAATTGATGTTTCCACAAGAAGAACTTCATTTGTTCTCGTGAAGCTATAATAGCTAATCCTAACTATAGAGGATTAGAAATTTAAGTTTCGATGGGCTAGTCATTTCGAGGGATTGGAATTCCGATGGGGCGCGTCTCCTCGAAAAACATTTTGGTCCCTCGGGCAGGATATTCCGAAACTTACGATCCCTCACCGCACCTATCGAATGAGTTTTTTTATCTGCTTGGGTATTAAACCCAAAAAATCCAAATCCATTAAAGAAAATCCAGTAGGAGACGAGACCAGATTGTGCAACATTGTATCAAGAAGACGGTAGTAAAAGAGTTTTATTCAGCACTAATGCAACGTATTTTGCACCATTCGCTCAAAGAGTGAATGTTAACAAAATGTCCTTCGAGTGCCAAAGAAGCTGTTTGTCTATCAACAATCTCAAAAGTACTTGAATGTAAGAAGGCGTCGAGTGCGTAACAAAAATTGTGTCAGTTCCTCTTGATAAAGCGGTGCAGGCATGACGGAAATAAGCAGTGTCACCATAAATGGTACTAACAAAATAAAGTATCCAGTAAAATATACATAGTTGCGTCATGACGTATCTATGCAGAGTGATCTAGAGGGTGTGTGTGTGTGTGTGTAAAAATGTGCTAACTAAGACTATATAAAACTGTGTGCACGAATGTTCTGGTTATGTACGCTGATGCATTCATTGAGATGAAATCACCCCTCACGACAACATTATTTATTAATAAAATTATTATTAGTTACTTTATTATTATATAAAAAATAGAGACGGCCAGCGAGCCCTATAGGAAGGGATAAAAAAGATTTTTACTATCATTAATATTTACTAGATTTTTTAAAAAACAACAAGTTTTTAAAAAACGCCTCTAAAAATATTTCTTTAAAAATATTTTAATTAAATTCAAGTACATTAATATCAAAATACTCTTTACTTATTTAATCTTTGATATTGGGCGCAGGTTTAACCTTATCTATCC